GGCATGCAGATCAGCCAGGCAATGGTGACGAACATAATCTGGTTCTTGGACAGCATCGGAGGCCGATGGATCGGACCCACGACGAGTTTGGTCTTGGACTGGATGAACTCAGACATTGACTCGGCCAATCGGGAGAAATCGCCCTGGTCCATCTGCGGCGACTCCTTCAGGCCGTGGGTGGGGATGACGGGTCCTGATTGTTCTCGATGAAGGAGGAGGCGACGACGGCGAACTCTTTGCGGAGCTCCTTGAGGTGAAGCTCCGACTTTTCGTGGAGCTTCGCAGCATCGAAGAAGACGAGGACCCAGTAGGGTCGCGGGGTTTTGACGGCGGTGAGGAATTTGGCGAGGGAGCGGTCGTCGAGGCGGATCACCCCAGAACTGGATCGGGATTGGAGGGAGAGGAGTTCGCTTGGTTCAGAATTTGAGGCTTTTGTTCGAATCCAAAGAAATCGTTGCTAACTTGAGGCTTCGAATCGAACTCGAACGGACTTTGAGATCTCAAACTTGTGGATTTTGGAGTTTGTGAGGTCGATTACTTGGGGTTTGGGTTCGAAGTCGAAGAAATCAGCGGAGTTAAAGTTGAAGATGTCAGTTGAATCCAAGTAATCGGATATTTCAATGGAGGATTCAAAGGTGGAAGAGGATTTGGAGCAGAACGAATCCGATTGGGCTCTGGAGAGGTCGAATTGACCTCGGGACTCCATTGGTTTTGGGGGAAGCTGAATTTGGACAATAGGCTTGGGCCTGTGAAATGAAGGGAGCTTGCTTTGTAGCTGAAGTCTGAGCAGGCATTGGACTTGACTGCAGATTGGGCTTGTGGCTTGTGGCTTGAGCCTTTTGCTGCTGCTGGGCCGAGACACTCGTACATATATTTTTTTTTCTTTTTTTTTTCTTTTTTTTTTTATAAATACATAATAACATATGTATTTATTTATTTTTTTTGTAATAAAATTGACTTTTTTTTTTTTTTTGTAATGACATTGACTTTCTTTAATAAAATTTATTTATTTATTTATATTTTGATGTGACTGAACTCGAAATTGAATGCTCGAGTTGCCTACGTACCCTTCCAAACAAAGAGATCAAGTCAAAACGTAGTTCAAAATACATTTTTTTTTCTTGGTATTTTCTTTTTGTGCTGTTTGCAGTTTAACTCATGCAGGCAAGGAGTGTGTTGTGTCGCCTTTTAAACTCGTGCAAACCAGGAGTGTTTGGTGCCGTGGAGCAGTTTCAGCTCGTGCCAGCAAGGAACGTTGGTGTTGCCTTTTATGCTCGTGCAGACCAGGAGCTTAGTGCCATGCAGTTTAGACTCGTGCGAACAAGGAGCATTGGTGCCGTGTTGCAGTTTCAGCTCGTGCAGGCAAGGAGCGTTGGTGTTGCCTTTTATGCTCGTGCAGACCAGGAGCGTTGATGTCGCCTTTTATGCTCGTGCGGATCAGGAGCGTTGTGCCATGCAGTTTAGGCTCGTGCAGGCGAGGAGCCTCGTTTCCTACAGTTTAGGCTCATGCGGACAAGGAGCTTTGTGCCATGCAGTTTAGACTCGTGCGGGCGAGGAGAATTTGTGAATTTTGTCAAGCAATTTTGGAGAGGCGTTCCTCACAATCTTCATAGCAAGGAGCCTTGACCGAGTGATTGAAGAAGTCTTCGGGAAAGAAATCGCGCATTGTGATGGCAATGGACGATCTTTGTGTCGCAATTTCATCATCTTCAACACGTTCATGTTGCTTTGAAGGTTGACAAGAACTGCTTTGCCCCCTTTCCGATTGGCGAACTTGTGGAGGAGACGTATGCTTCTTGTGCAATTTCTTAGGATTGACTTGAGTCCATCCTTCAACTTTGCTTGTCTTTGGAGGATGCCCCCAGCGGTTGAGGTGAAAACTTTGAGTCGGAAGAGAGCCAGAAGTGAAGGTGGTATAGTTTGACTTCGCCACTTCGTCAAGATCTAGCTCGATGATTCCTTTCTGAGCCAGCTTCATGATGAGATCTTTCAGCACGAAACATTTTTCTGTCGGATATGACTGATGAAGCGGTGGAATTTACAGTATCTTGGACTGTCGGTATGATTTATCTCTTCCGGCCGTCTGCACTCAGGCAAACTGATCACCTTCTTGTCCAACAGGTCATCCAGCATGGCAACCACATCAGAGTCGGGGAATGGATAAGTCTTCTCCTCAAGCTCCTTCAAAGTGCGTCTACGCATCTCTTGATCATGAAAAGCTTCGTTTTGAATCGCCTTGCCTCGTGTAGGGATTTTGACGGGAGCTGTGTTGACTGTCATTGCTTCTTTGGTGGATTTCCACGTAGCCTTCTCCACCTTTGGCCCAAGAACTTTGTCGTTCTTGTAGTCGGCGATCGGTTCCTTCTTCCCATGATGGGCGATGCTCAACTCCATGTCATGGGCGCGAGTGGCCAATTCCTCGAAAGTCCGTGGTTTAATGCCTTGAAGGATGTATTGCAAACCCCATTGCATGCCTTGGATGCACATCTCGATTGAAGAGGTTTCCGAGAGCCTGTCTTTACAGTCGAGGCTTAGAGTGCGCCATCTGTTGATGTAGTCAATGACTGGCTCGTCCTTCCACTGCTTTGTGCTCGTTAGCTCTAGCATGCTCACAGTGCGGCGGGTGCTGTAGAAGCGGTTGAGGAATTCCCGCTCTAATTGCTCCCAGCTGTTGATGGACTCAGGCTCTAGGTCCGTGTACCACTCAAAGGCATTTCCTTTCAGCGAGCGCACAAACTGCTTGGCGAGGTAGTCCCCTTCGGTTCCTGTGTTGTTGCAGGTTTCAACGAAGTGGGCAACGTGCTGTTTCGGGTTTCCCTTTCCATCAAATTGCATGAACTTTGGTGGTTGATAACCCCTCGGCATCCTTAAGGCGTCGATCTTCTTTGAATACGGCTTTGAGTACAACCCGGAGGTATATGAGCTCCCTTCGTACTGTGCCTTGATGGTGATGGTGATCATCTCTTGCAGCTGCTGGATAGAAAGAGATCCCATGAGTGCCGCTGCTTGGTCTGGTTTCGGCTTCCCATCGATTTTCTTCACCGGGGGTTCTTCGTCTCCGCCAGCTCCTCCCTTTAGTGGATCATTCTCTGGGTCGGGTTTCTCGCTGTCATGCGCCTCCAGTCGGTTGACTAATGCCGCGATTTGCAAGTCTTTTTCTTCCACAGTTCGAGTTAGTCTTGCGATTGCTTCATTAATTTGAGCAAGCTGTTCCTCGACTGAAGTTGCTCCAGCGGTCATGACTTGCATGGCTGAACTGCCGCTTGAATCGTCATCGGAGAGCATGGATTCGGAGTATTCCCTTGGTCTTTCCCCCCTTGGTGCCCTTAGTGAGGCTAAGGTGATCATAGGCTCGTGCCTGGGGTACTCTCGTTCCCCTGGCAGAGTTGATGCAGAGGTGAAAGAGGTGGCAGAAGTAGATTTTGCTTTGCTTCGAGTCGTGATACCCAACGTGACACCACTTGCGACGAGGGCGCCTTTGTTCTTTGCGCTGGTTATGGGAACAGCTTGAGCCTTCCTTGAAGCCATTAATTTTGGAAGTGTGCTCGAATTTCTTGAACGGAGAAAGAGATTAGAGGTAGAGATTATCCCACCGGGCGTGCCAATTTGTGAACACGGAAAATTCCTGAAACGAAAGAGACAAGAACAACGTGCACAAACAAATATTTGTATTTTGATGATTTTGGGTTACAATCTCTCTCTATTTTGATCCTCTGATTCGATCTCCGTAAGGTGTTGATTTGTGGATATTTCATTGATCCAAGGGCCGTCGAGGCTTGATCTTGGATGAACTGTTGGAAGTTTCTTCAAAGGGCCGTGGGCTTGATCTTTGAAGGTGGATTTGAGTGGATCTTCAAAGGGGCTTTTGGGCTTGATCTTTGAAGAACAGTGACAAACGGATCTCCAAGGGCTTTTGGGCTTGATCTTGAAGAACAGTGATGAACAGATCTTCAAGGGCTTTTGGGCTTGATCTTGAAGAACGGTGACGAACGGATCTCCAAGGGCTTTTGGGCTTGATCTTGAAGAACGGTTGGATGTGTGGATTTGTCGACGTTGTTGATCCAAATGGCCGTTGGGGCTTGATCTTGGATGAACGGATGATGAACGATTGTGCTTTCTTCAAGGGCCGTCGGGGCTTGATCTTGAATTGGTGGATGGTTGATCCAAGGGCCGTCGGGGCTTGATCTTGGAAGAACGAAGAACGAAGAACGAAGAACACTTTCTTCAAGGGCCGTCGGGGCTGATCTTGAAGGTGGACGATTGTTGATCCAAGGGCCGTCGGGCTTGATCTTGGAAGACCGATGAACGAAGAACGCTTTCTTGATTCTTCGGGAACCTGAATGCTTGAGAGCTTCGGAGTTTCAGACCTTCAGAGCTTCAAGAGTTTTGCCTAATGATTTTGGTTCTTCCCAAATGAATGAAATGGGCTTGTATTTATAGAATTTTCCAAGGCCTAATTTTGAATATAATATCCCAGATGAAATAAGTCGTTTCTGCCAAGTGTTGACACGTGTCCTATTTGATGACTTTTCCAACTCATTTCAATTTTCGTTGAGTCACACGCTACGTGTAAAATTTATGTAATACATGAGCGTTGACATTTTGATTTATCGGTCAACATTTATTTACCGAAATTTCGATGTCTACAGAAACCAAAAAAGAAAAAAACACGCAATTAATAAAAAATAAAAAATAAAAAATAAAAAAACCTCCTAGGACCGCCTAGGACCGCCTAGGGCCGCCTAGGACCGCCTAGCCCGCCTAACCCACCTAGCCGCCTAGCCCGCCTAGACCGCCTAGGCGCCGCCTAGCCCGCCTAGACCGCCGCCTAGGCCCAACCCGATTTTTCCTCCCGATTTGCCCAAAATCACCTCGGTTGGTGCCTAGGCCGTTTTTTTAGAACACTGAGAAAACCAAAGAAAAAAAAGAATTAATCCTCATTGCACCGACAAAATTAAAGAACAAAACATAAAAAAGGAAGGAAAAAAACCCAGATTTCTCTCAAAGTTGTGTTATCCTTTCTTCATCATCATCCCCGCGCATCAAATCTCACCCTCTCTGTCGAACCCATTTCCTTATTTCTTAATCTCCCAAAACCCATATGTATTCTCCGAACCAAAATCAATTTGTAAGAAACAAACAAATCAACCAATTTCATAAGAGAGGGAATAGAGAGCAAACAGAGAAAGGGAGCGGAAAAAAGGACGAAGAAGAATGAAGGATAGCAGATGAATTCGAAAGGAGGAAGAAGAACAAAGAACAGCATATGGAGTTCGTTCTGGATAGAGGAGAGAACGGAGAAGGCACATATTTATTTGAGAGTGAAGAGACAACGTGATTAAATTTTTCTGGGCTTTTGAGTTTTGAACCTGCTAAATTATCCTTAGCTTTTGGAGTGTATTATTTAGCAGGTGTGAGCCGGAATAAAAAGTGGGCCCGTGATCTATAATCGGCCAGCTAATTAATTCAAAACTGCACCAAACTCCTGTCTCGCACTATTAATCCTATCCGGAGTCTAATACGGTGTACCAAACGAGGCCTAAAAAGTTCTATCATCTTCGTTCCATCTTCTCTGCCGCTTGCCTCCTTCCTCCTCATCCTCTCCCGCAGCAGCTGCATCTCCAGGTTCGATCTTGATCTTCTCCCGTAGCCGCTGTATCTCCAGGTTCGATCTTGATCTTCTCCCGTAGTCGCTGCATCTCCAGGTTCGATCTCAATCTCTATAGATCTTTAATTTTGCTTTTTGGATTGGGTTTTACTTTTTCGTTTTCTTGATTTTTTCCATGGAAATTTTCAATTTTCTGGGAAAATAGGATGATTATGAGAAAATAAGTTAGTTTTCTTGGTTTCTCTGGTTTAACTTGTGCTTGGGAATTGTATTTGATTAGTGGTATGTTTGTGTTTTGGTTGTAAATCTACACAGAGTAAATGACCTAAGAGTTCAAACTTAAACTCAACGTCCATTCTTTACGGTTACATTAGCAAGAGGACACCCCGCCCCTCACACCCTCACATCATCAATTCGATGAAGAAAAGAGTTCGGCCCAACTTTCAATTTGTCCAGTTCAAGGTAAAATTCAATGGTTTTAGCAGTAGAAATTTCAAAGTTTGAATCTTTTTCTCCCACCCTCCCTCCTAAATATCTAATGTTGATTTGTTCAAAATTTGCTTCATTTTTTCCACCTAATGTAATATAGTGTCGTCGTTATTCTAAATATGCGTTTGTTTTTTCTTCTGTAATTAAAATTTTAATTATGATAACTTAAAGGAGTCGTGACATTAAGGCATAAAATTCAACTAAGCTTTAATTTTTTGTTCTTAATTTGTTCCTCTTTTGTTTTCGGGGTTAAACCATGTATTAGAAGGCGTATCTGTTCAACTTGGAAGCCCGACGTCAGACAGAAACGGGGAAAAAGAACTTGGGAAAGAATGGGAGAAATAGGGGTACTGATTACAACTTGGTGGACCGAATCAGTTGGTTGCCAGATGAAGTTCTTGTTAGTATATTGTCTCGCTTGCCACTAAAGGAAGCAGCAGCTACTAGTATCCTTTCTAGGCAATGGCGGTATGTGTGGGTGTCAACTATGACTCTCGTCTTTGATTCTGAATTTGATATTTACCCCTTTCACCGCTTCTATGAAATTAAACCAGAACTAAGAGACCAGGAAACACGTAGATACGTTGATTGGGTAAATCATGTGGTGGAACATCATACAGGAACAACAATTGAACGATTTAGGGCTTGCTTCCATTTGGATTATCGTTACTCAAGCTCCATAGATAAATGGATTCATATTGCAAGGAAAAAGCAAGTTCAAATACTTGAGCTGGATTTCCATGTGCGTGCTAGGGAAAATTACTATACATTTTCGGAGGAACTTTTAGGTATCAATCAAGTTTCTGCTTCAAAGCTCAAGCACTCATATCCTGAAATTCCAAGTGTACGCTTTTGTGGATACAATACTGGATTTAAATTCCTCAAAGCTCTTTGTGTCTGCAAGGTTTCTGTGAGTCAAGAAATTCTCGAGTACTTCTTGTCTAATTGCCCCCTTCTTGAGCGATTAACAGTGCGCTACACTACAAAAAATTTGGTCAATTTAAGAGTTGTTGGCCCCTCAATTGCCTTGAAGTATCTGGTGATAGAATCTTGTCCAGGCCTCCACAGCATTGAGATTTCTGGTGTAAACCTTGTTTCATTTTCCTATTGTGGAACTGCTATAAACCTGCTTCTCAGCAAAGTACCTTTTCTTCTTGAGGTATCCATTTCTGAAGAGCCCGTTAAAAATTCCAGCGATCATCGACATAGGGTATGGGGTATACATTATTTGGTATCCCATAGATCCATAGTGCTTCCTTTCACCCAACTTTCTTGCTGTCTTGCTCAACTAGAGATTCTCGAGGTGGATATTGTTGGAGCGGTTAGTATTTGTAATTATAATGTATTGGTTTTCTTTCCTTCTTGTTGGATCACGTGGTTTCTTACTCCTTGTTTGGCTTTCAGGTCTACAATGACAGCAACACATTTCCTATATTAGCAAATCTCAAGCATTTGAAGTTATTGATTGGAGCAAATTATTATCGGGATCTTGATCACTTATCTTCCTTCATGAAGGCATGTCCTTACTTGAAGAGACTTGTGCTGAAGGTATGTGTTCACACCTAGTATGGATAGAATGGTAAAACCTTGTATTTTATGTGCATTTTCATCCCTTTTTTTTCCATCTCCCGTGCATTGCATCACCAATTTTGATTATGAGGAAAGCATAGAGAAAGTTAGATTTTTCCTTATGATTGGTAAAAAGGAAAATGCTAGACACCAACGTAAAAAGTACATTTTTTTTAAAAGTTCAAAAGAATTGCGGGATCTTTTGCTAGATTGGATGCATTTGTTACTTATTCATAGTCCGGCATGTACATAAAGTGAATTTTCGACCACCAACTTATGTGGGTATGTTGCATTTGCATTGAATAAACAAGTTCCATAGTGGACTTAAAACATAACAAAATAAACTTTGCTGCATCAGTTGGTGTACAAAAGTTGTTGTGCCTTGTGCAATCATATGTAAGGAAGTTGTGAATGTGAATTTCACTTCCACGTCGTATGGTGTATTTTGATGTAAAAGTTTTGTAGTTGTGTATAATTGTGGTTTGATTGGGAGGAGGTTTATAATGCTGGTATGGTTGGGAGGAGGTGTATAACGGTTGCAGTGGCAAGTGATGGGTTGGGGTGCCAAGGAGCTAAGGTTTTTCTCAAGAGAGAGAGGGTGTGAAACATGAGAAGGGTATATGACCTCAATAACTAACTAGGGTAATACGGGAATTGAGAGAATACATGAAGCAACTTTTTTACTAAGCTTTAAACTGAAGCAACTTTCCTTGTTCTCATTGGTGTACACTTGGTTGTTGTTTTCCTTGGTGCAGGTGAACAGGCCAACATGTGGGGAGAGGAAAGAAATAGCGAAAGTTGCTAAATGCCCCCATAATTACCTCAAGGTAGTTGAGATAGTGGGGTACCGTGCTCATGCATGTGTCATTCAACATGTCATGTTCCTAATGGAGAGTATTGTTGAATTGGAAAAAATTGTTATTGATCCTGTCCGGCATTGGTGTTGGCCTAGGGGAACGGATGGGGGAAGGGAAGAACCCGATCTGGAAGCGAAAGCAAGAGAACATGCTATGCAACACCTTAAACAAAGAGTGCCATCGACGGTTGAATTTGTATGCCTATAGTAAGTGTTGTGCTTAAATTATTAAGAGATTGTGAGTAGAAAAATTCATTCGAGACATAGTTTGCGTTATTCGGTTAGCTACATTTTACGATTTCTAAGTTAGGTGATATTCAAAAGGGGCGATGGGGTTATTCGCATTACACCTTCACTCTGAAATTGTATGAATTATGCCTTGCATATATTTAAAAGTAGAACTAATAGATATAAAACTATACTGCAATATCTGTCGACGTGCTAGACTGTAAGACAACTCTGTTCTGTGTATTGTAGAACTAATAGATATAGAACTATACTCGATGCATTAAAAAATATCCGACAATACAGTCAATAATATAGTAAATATTAAAATCCACAATATGGTTACAAATAGCAAAAATTTATTTTGCAAATCAAGCATGCTTTCCTTTTTTCATCATCAAACACTTGACTGAATGACAACAAAAGCCGTCGAAAACATCTTGCATTTGCTTACCTTCCCTTGGACATCACTTGGTTGTTGGAAACTTGAACAAAGAATGGTCATTTTCTTCAAATTCTGGGCATACTCAACAACATATCTTGCAAGCTCAATTTCATTTGACGCATCAGAGAGCTTTATGGTTACCGCCACAAGCTGATAAACAAAATCAAGGTTTTGCGATTTCCAGTATACCATATCAAACCCAGATGATTGAAAAGCCACATGGAAACCAGCAATCATTACCAAATAATATCATATAGAAAAATGGATAACTACTTTATAAACTGATGATGATTTACAATGCACCCAATTGAAGAAATTGCGACAGGATATAGAAGAGAGGGGGGAAGAGGAGAGGAGAGAATTGAGAGTTAACACCAACTTTTTCACTTACCATAGGATTGGTTTCCCGTCTTCCTCGTCCACTTTCTATGTTCAAGGTATTCAAATTAGGGACTCCTCTAAGAAGAGAGACCACTGCTGGAACTAGTTCATTATTCAAGCTCCTCAAATGCAAACCCAAATAACGTATATCATCTAATGGTCCTGGCCTGGAGCCTTCCGTGAACAGAACCTGCAAATATTCAAGCAAAGAATCTTGAGTAGAAAAAGGAGAAGAAGCCAAACGCAAAGAGAGAAGAAAAAAAGTAAAAGAATCCTATTAAATGCTATACATACTTAGAATAACACCAGAAATCCAGATTAATTAGCATTAATTAGTCACACATTCAAACACTCATGTTTCTGAAGTCACTACATACGCTAGAGCTTGACCAAAAGGTTATAGACCGTAAAGGCTAGGTCCATTTACCTTAATGGTCTCCTCGTTCAGAATAAGAACTTTAGCCCTGCACACACTGCAAAGAACCTCATATAAATTGTCATAACCATTTACCTCGGGCTTCAGAAAAATCTGAGCTTTTTCTAAACTCATGAATTCTCCTAGACTTTGGCTATTCAACAATTTGCCTTTCCATCTCAACTTTCTAAGATTGGGGGCAAAGATTTTTAACGAGCGGCTTTTAGATGAAGTACCAAATGTCCAATCTAATCATATTTCTTCAAGTTTTTTACCACATAGGTTAAGATGGAAGAGGACAGTCGAAGCCAACTTAAATGATTCCAAAGACAAGCCTTCAATGGTGATACTCTCCATCCCATTAATGTGAAAAAGTTTGATTTCCTTAGTGCATTTGCAGGCACATGAGATCCATTTGCAAAATCTCTCATCTACTATTCGAACAAAACTCAACTTCAAGTAATGGAGATTGCACGAAAAAGATAAGGAGGGTGCTAGAAGAATCATATTAAAACATTGCACTGATAGAGACTGTAAAGATTCAGAACGCAAAGTGCGCAAATGTGACGGTACCCTTTGCTGAGAAATCAAGGTGCAGCTCCTCAACGTTGCACCTTACTGCACCGTTAATCCACGTGATGATCCGAAAACGCTCATCAGAGTGCTTAATTAAAGTTTGGCTACTAAAGGACTTCCAACAAATGGAAAACCGCTGCATCTTATTGTGACCGCGATGAATCAAGTACCTATCCAAAGAACTCATCAACTCTACACGCTTCTGGTTGGTTTTTACAACAGCATCGAAATTCACTGAGGGGACTGATAGATAAAATTTTAAGCATCCTTTGGACACAGTACCAACTTAATGGAGAAAGGAAAGAACATGATAAGCAACTTCTTCTGGAAGATTACTGAATCTGTCTGTTATACCCTCACCACAATCTCCGTGAGCGTGACAACGACTCGTACTTGACTGAAACTTCTTGCTTAGCATGATGATCTATTCCTTTTCGATATAGGACTGTTGGAAGCGGAGGCGGTGCAGCGACAAAGAATATGCTTCACCTGCAACGTTAAAAGGACACAACCAACCTTCACCAAATTTATACTAAAAAAAAAGGCAACCCCAAAACATCAAAACTCCCCGCTTTGCGAGAGTCGGGGAGAACGTCTATCTACGCAGTCTTTCCTTGTTTTGCAAATACGCTGCTTTCACGACTCGAGGTCACAAAAGAGCAACATTTACATTGCGCCAAGGCTCGCCCTCCAGACAAGGGAATGACAAGCCAGAAAGGTAATAGAATTGATGAAGTATTTAGAATTGATAATCCATCCAATTGAACAGTTAAGTGAAAAACCAAAGAAGAGTATTTCAGAGCACCAAATTTTCACCCTGACAGGATATTTGTGATTACTTCAAGTTCAGGATATGAACTGACCGATTTAGGATATGAATATTACACAATTTTACAGAAGTGTTGTAATGCAGAAGCAAACAACTAATAAACTGTTAGAAAAATTCTAATCAGACAATTAATTTAGGGAAGATTGGCAGTTAGGGTTTTGGGTTTTTGAGATCATACCTCAATGGATGTCGAGGGAAGGCGAGAAGATTTCAGCTCCTGCTAGCTCCGACTTTAAAGAGCGGAGGAGATGGAGAGCTTTGAGATTTGAGAAGTGAGACCGGACGAGATGATGAGTCGAAGCGGGAAAGATAATGAGACAAGTGAGAGAAGTTACAACTGTCTAACCTTTTTCCTTTCTATTATCTTCATTAATTAATAAAACATTCATTGTCAATTAAAATCATATAAAATTATCAATTTAACCCTCTAATTAAAATAAAAAATGAATAAGAAATATGGAACAGAAATGTAATTTCACAAATATGGGACAGAACATAGAAGAAAACGGAGAAAAAGAAGGAAAGGAAAGTAAGGTGTTATAAAATTGAACTTGAAGTTTGGCAAACCCGAACACGGCAAAAACCCGCATGAACTGAGTCAAACCCAAACCCGAATTGTTTGAATTAGGATTGCGTTGACCATCCAACCCGTCCAAATTGCACCCGTACTCTCCATTCACTTCACACCTTGTCTCTGTGTTTGTATGTCAATAGTGTTCTTAACAAGGGTTATTGCAGCGGAAGTTCAGTCAAGATTTTTGCCCCCAGTCTGAAAGCTTTGCAAATGGTTATTCTTGATAAGTAGGCCATGCCTGATTGTCTGGATTGCTATATGGACTTTCTCCCGCACTCACCAATGTTAATGTCTCAGTTGTTTGGCCAGCATTGACTGGTTTGCTGAATGCTCTAACTAGATCAATATATACATCTATACGATGAAGGTACTAGTTTGATTTTCAGAGTTGTCGGGAGCTAAGCTGAAAAATGAGAGATTACACATTTTCTTTCGGGCCGCAGATTACTTGACAACGACAATTAAGGCTCCGAAACCTTGTCATTACAAAATTTAAGTACAACATACTAACAAAAAGGTAATATTCATTGTCCAAATAGATGAGGAAATATAATCAAGTTATAAATCACAGTAGCAAAAATACATTGTCAAACAGCGGCCAGATGGCACAGTGGACACAAAAAATGACAGAGACAGATGCAACGAGATGGCGAAAGGTTTGGGGGATTTGTATATTAGATCGAAATGGCTGAAACATCACCTCATCTTTTCGTGCTATGCAACACCAACGTGTCTCAGCCTGCAACTCGAACTAGCTCTTTTTTTTTATGTATATTGGGAACGGCTTTGTGATGACATAAAAATACCTATCCTACTTTTGTCTTCCTTTTCTTTTACATTTTACCCCTCCTGACATTAAGGATCTCTATCTTTCAGATCACTCCAAGCAGTTAACACTTTCACATTCCGACTTTACTCAACATTCACACTAAACACAGTACGAACTGAGTGTTGACCATCAAACCATGTTATGGACCCAAAATTGTAGCCGCTAGGAGCCTCCTTGCCGTAAAATGACACTTGGAAAGACACCCTCCTCACACCCTCGGCAAAAACTAACTTCTCCGGGAGTACACTGACTGTTAAACCTACAGGAGCCTGAACCTTGGCAATGTACGTAGAATTCAGGGCTCCAACATTGGTCACGGTTCTTTTAATAGCCTTTGCAGGTTGGCGCCGGTTGAGCTTACTAATGGAGATGGACGGGTAGTTGATGTTAGAGATGAGTTCTTCAATGGAAATTTTAGGGCAGTTGAACTTTGTGTTTGACATAAATCTTATATTTTTCTCTGGGTAGCCGTAATAGCAAAGGAATTCAAGATAGTTTTCTGTTGTGGTTTCGAAGACTAGTCCCGGGTTAAGAGCTTTAATTGGGTTTATTTCTCCGACCCCCACCTCGTGTGGATTTGCAAAGTGGTTAGAGCTGTCTGTCAAAGGCATTTTCATGTTGTTGTAAATGGTTGCTGAAACAAGAAAAGAGGTCGATATAAGTATCTCCTACGTGCCGGTACTTTCAAGTGGAAATAAACTCAAACGAATATAATCTAGGTAAGGAAACCGTGTAATTCTCGTGAAGTATCTTCCTAAATATTTTACATTGAAATCAAAGAAAGATTGATGCACGCAATATCGTTAACATAGAATGGCTGCACAAGATGTCGAAAAGTCTAAAAATACCTGTTGTCATAAGGGCTGATTTGATCATGGAAGTAGTCCATTGACGATGCACTGACTTGATGAATGCAGCAGTCCCCGATACGTGCGGACAAGCCATTGATGTCCCGGATTTTATGGAAAATTTTGATGGCTTCTTCCCATTTGGGACTGTCCCTGTTTCATTCTTGGGAGCTATGGCAGCTAAAATGGCCACTCCTGGAGCCATTATATCAGGCTGAATAGCACATAAAGAAACACGAAAAGTAAATACAGTTGGTTTTGCAAACAAATACTGGTACATTATCGAAACCTGATAATCCAATACGCTGTGGTTTGGATGAGCAAAGTTTTGATATGAACAACTAAAAATCGACCAGACTTGACTAAAAATCAACCAACTTATGTGGATCGAATTCATCATTTTTTTCAGCACAAGTGAATGACTAGCTTATAGGCAGATCAAACAATTTCATATTTTGTCTGTCTGATCGCATCGACCTGGCATGTAAAGCCTTTATGGTCCGATTACATAGGGTCTGTGCACTTGCTTCAGAGTTACAAGGTTTAGTGCGAATCCAACTAAATCATGGTTTCCGACTTCATAAATATTTGGAGAACTGTAAAATTGGGAATGCACCTCAAATTAAACACGCACGGATGTATCTAATGTTAAGGTGCAGGTGAATTTAAAAAAATTTAAAAAAAAAACAAAGAGGTGCAGGTAGAAAATAACCTTGAGAATGTTTTCTGTAAGCTGTGCAGGACCCCTCGATGAAAAAAATGCGACGGACGGTGCAGGTCTATACTGTGGAACTACAACTGTTGGGAGAATCGTTGCTGTTGGTTTTCTGTTGTTATGACATAAAAATAGTAATTCGTAACTGATGCGTATGAAGATTGTCGTAATAGAAGCTCAAATTCAATGACCATATCCTTTAGCAAGGAACCACCCAATCACATAAGTCTGACCGGAATTTGTCGGATATTTAGCAACACATAATGTCGAATAATGCACCACACGACAAGAACATGCAAACCGAAATACTGAGAGCTGGTAAAAATGATCCCCAAACACATAAATTTCTTAGCATAAATGGTTTGAATGCTTACTTGGTAGAATTTATGTACTTGAGAATCTGAAACCCTGCAATATTGCCAACTTCTGTAAACGGGAAAATGCCCGAATCGAAAGGTACACCTTTCTCAGCTTCATCAATTAAAATCAACCCTTTGGCTTTAGTATCAGCAACAACTAATTTCTTGGTTCTCCGTGAAACAGCCGGGTCATCATCAACACAAACGACTATTTTGCCAACTACTTTCTTTTGATCCAATGATCCCGGATAGCAATTTCTGCAGTTAAGTGCCCAACCAAATACTTTATTAAAATGTTAAAAACCAATCACCTGAATATGAATTTCCCAAAAAAGAAGATGCCCGAGGATGATGAATTATGATCACCTTGCTTCCGATACAGGCGTGTTAATGCCAGCGGCATCTTTTCCAAATACAAGGGGATATGTTTTCAAACGAGTGAGATTGGAGAAATTGATGGCATAACCCTATTAGAACCTAGATATTAGAAACTTTTGTATAAGCAAGAAACCAAAATACTAACTGCAGGACTTCAGTAAACATCTTACAGTGAATGTTCTCCCATTTCCAAGAATGATATTAGATTGGAAATCCCTATCAATGTTAGAAGCTGCAACGGTGAAGATCCATGGCGCTGTGTTTGCAATAGTGTAAGGATCGGGACCATCATTTCCAGCAGAGCAAATTACCATCACTCCCATTTGCTCAGCGTGAAATGCTCCGATGGCTATGGGGTCATTTAAATAGTCAGACTGAAACAGTGAGCTCATCCCAATGGAAATAGATATGACGTCTACTCCATCTCTAACTGCATCATCGATAGCCTTCAATATGGTGGCACCAGAGCAACCAACATCCAAGCATGCCTTGTAGCATGCAATCCTTGCTGACGGTGAGCCTCCCTTTGCTGTACCTTGTGCCAAGCCATAGTAACTGGCATTGGGAACTTGCACACCGGCTGCTATGGATGCAGTGTGAGTTCCATGGCCGACAGAATCTCTTGGTGAGCCACTGGTACTGGCTAAATGGCTCTGGTCACCATTTGTTGTCACCGGAACATTATAGTATCTTGCACCTATCAACTTTCTGTGACAAAAAAATGTAATGAAATCAAGATGTAGTATCTTACCTATCAACTTTCAAAATAAACTCTGAAACATTAATTTGAATCCCTCTCTCTCTCTCTCTCTCTCTCTCTCTCTCTCTCTCTCTCTAATTTTCTAATTATAAGCCAGGTGAAATAGCGATTAACACTGTAAGGGCTGGTTTGGTATTGCTGTGCTTTGAAAAAAAGCTGCTGTGAGAATAAGCGGCTGTGCTGTGAGAATAAGCGGCTGTGAAATAAAGCCAGTAGAGTGTTTGGTAAACTTTTTTGTGAAAGTGCTTTTGGAAAAAAAAGCAGGATGATAGTGTGTCTTTTCATTAAAGGAGCACTATAGCTCCGTGTGCTTTGAAAAAAATGGCTTTTTTTCAAAGCAGCAAATAGCAGCTTCAGCTTTTCCTTTGATTTTCAGCCTATTCTCACAGCAGCTTCCAAAATAAGCCATTTTTTTCAGTTTACCAAACACAAAAATGACCCTCAGCTTTTTTTCACAGTGGCTTTTTTTAAAATCACCTCAATCCCAAACGGGGCCTAAATGCAGTGTTTAGATAGAATGTGAGACAATAAAATCACCTATTACAATTAGATTTCTTGAAGTCTGAGCCTTCCATACAGACTCCTTTCCATCTTGAAGGGACTGCACCAATTCCCTCATCACTGAAGCTCGGAGACTCAGGCCATATCCCTTAATCAACACATTAAATTAACAAAACAAAATTATTTTACAGAAGGGAGTTGCTAAAGATTAACTGATCTAATAATGCAATGTAAAACTCTATCCTTCAACTGGTTTGAAAAAACTGTACGATTTTCCTGATCCGAATAAATTATTTTTTACAGAAATAGGATTTGGCTCAACATATACGATTAAATATTGTGGGCACGAGAATGCCCAACTCCATATACTCTGTGGAGTA